AAAGTAAAACAGCCATAAACAGTGAAAGTCATCCTGCCCCTTCGCCCTTCCTGAACAAGTCAATCCACAGCCATTAAAAGGGGACAAGCAACAAAACATGTCTAAGCACAAGTCTGATGAGGAGGAAAGGGGACAGATGCCCAGTGACAGCAATGGGTGACTCATTACACACAAGGGAATTAGCCAAATCAGTAAATGTAATGAGGATAATGAGAGCCTAGTCTCTTACTGTCAAAGAAAGAAATTACAAATATAGAAAGGGAGAAAACTGGGCTGAATCCTCTGGTATTAGAGTGAAATTAGGGATACCAGATTAAGCTCATGAATTTTAATATGTACAGATATACAGAGAGAGGTATAGAAACATAAAAGAAGTGTGTATGTGTTTGTGTATCTCTGAGCAATCTGGAAGCAACGACACCTCAATGGCAACAGTCACATGTAATGGCCCGGGTCTTCCTTTCTAAATACTATTCTCCACTTACAGAAAGAGCTGATTCCAGGGCTGGAGCTGGAAAAATTCAAGACTAACTTGAAAGTAACAAAGTGTTCAAAGGATGACAGGGACATTTCAAAAAGAACATAGAACCAACCTGAAGGGGCTCCTAACCGCCAAATTTGGGGTCATCCAAACACCAAAACAAAAAAGAATAACTGATTATAACTGGCTGAGTAACAAGGAGATCCATGAATGAGTCCACCTGACACAGAAAGACAGAGAGATGGACCAGAGGAACAGATGAGTTAGAGGGAGAAGAAGAAGAGGAAGAAAGAAGTAGATTTGTTGATTAAAGGAAACTTAAACAGTAACTCTCAACAAAATGTTCATGAATTAGCGGGGAAAAGAGTAGCTTCAGGGTGGAGATATCCAGCAGACACCATTTTAAACAAATGACTCACCTCAACTGTAACAGTATAAATCAAAACCATGTACTACCTGAAAAAAAAATTTTATATTGAAAATTAAGAGGACTTCTGCCAAGATGGAGGCGTAGGTGGAAGCACTGTGCCTTCTCACACAACCAAGTTTAAAAACAACAAAGTTTTAGCAACAAAAACGCAGCCAAACCACAGAAAATTGAACTACATGGAAGTCTGACAACAACGAACCGTAGAGTCAAACTGGTAAGAGGGGCAGAGCCAGCAGCAGAGCGGGGTTGGGCAGGAAAGATCCACCAGACCGACCTGGGTGTGCGACTCAGGTACGCCAGCAGCCATGGGCGGATCCCAGGTGTGGAGTAGCGGGCAGACCCACTGAGGGCGCAAGGTGGTGGACCCACTGAGGGCTGACCATAGTCACACATTCACACGCAGATAAACCAGTGAAGGCGCAAGCAGTGAGATGGAACGCAAAGGCCCCGGCAGCGGCGGGAAGCAGCAGAGGGGACTGCCACTGTCCCTCTCTGACCCCGCCCCCACATACAGAGTCACAAACCAGCAACCTGGGTGGCCCCGCCCTGGTGAACACCTAAGGCTCCGCTCCTCATACATAACAGGCACGTATAGATCAAAACATGGCTCAAGAACAACTCAGAGCCCCAGAGCTCATAAATCTAAGCGACGAAGAAATAGCCAAACTTTCAGATGCACGGTTCAAAACACTGGTGATCGGGATGCTCGCAGAACTAGTTGATTTTAGTCACAAATTAGAGGAACATATGAAGGCTAAACTAATTGAAATGAAGGGAAATGCACAGGAAATCAATAGTAATGGAAAGGAAACTGGGACTCAAATCAAAGGAGTGGACCAGAAGGAGGAAAAAAATGACTAAACAGAAAAGGATAAAGAAACAAGAATTCAAAAAAAGGAGGAGAGGCTTAGGAACCTCCAGGACATCTTTCAATGTTCCAACATCCGAATTATAGAGGTACCAGAAGGGGAAGAGGAACAGCCACGAGTGGAAAACTTATTTGAACAAATAATAAAGGAGAATTTCCCCAATCTGGCAAAGGAAATAGACCTCCAGGAAATCCAGGAAGCTCAAAGAGTCCCAAAAAAGTTGGACCCAAGAAGGAACACATCAAGGCACATCATAATTACATTACCCAAGATTCAAATGAAGGAGAGAATCCTAGAAGCAGCAAGAGATAAGGGGACAGTCACCTACAAAGGAGTTCCCATCAGACTGTCAGCGGATTTCTCAAAAGAGACCTTACAGGCAAGAAGGGGCTAGAAAGAAGTATTCCAAGTCATGAAATCCAAAGACCTACAACCAAGATTGATCTATGCAGCAAAGCTTTCATTTAGAATGGAAGGACAGATAAAGTGCTTCTCAGATAAGGTCAAATTCAAGGAGTTCATCATCACCAAGCCCTTATTATATCAAATGTTAAAGAGACTTATCTAAGAAAAAGAAGATAAAAAGATGAACAGTGAAAGGACAGCAAACTCACAGTTATTAACAACCACACCTAAAACAAAAGCAAACTAAGAGGACAGCTAGATCAGGAGCAGAACCATAGAAATGAAGATCACATGAAGGGTTAGCAACAGGGGAGTGGGAATGGGAGAAGGTACAGAAAATAAGTAGCATAGACAGTAGGTAGAAAATAGATAAGGGGGAGGGCAAGAATAGTAGGGGAAATATAGAATCTAAAAAACTTGAGGCACGTGGTCATAAACTAAAGGGGGAGTGGTGGGGGAGGGGGTGTGCAGGGTGGAAGGGAATGAAGAGGGGAAATAGAACAACTGTAATGGCATAATCAATAAACTATATTTTTAAAAAAGAAAGAAAATTGTGAAATATATTACAAAACAACTGGTCTACAATGTTCAAAAAGTTATAGAAGTCCAGAAGAGACTAAGGAACTGATTAAGGAAACAAGAAAACAAAATGTAATGTGACTCTTCAAAAGTTAGGTTTCACATAAAGAACAATAATGGGCAACTGTCAAAACCTGAATAGGATCTGAGGATTAAATGATAGAAATAAATCAACACTAACTTCCTGATCTTGATGGTTGTATTGTGGCTACACAGGAGAATGCACTTGATTGCAGGCAAAATGTACTAAAGTACTTAGGAGTGATAAAGCATCATGTTGGTAACTTAAATTCACCTGGTTTCGGGAGAGAGGGAAAGTTCCCTATTCTATTCAGGGGGAAGGGAAGGGAGGGAGAGGGGAACGAAGGGGAGAGGGCCACAGCTCTCCTGCGAGGCATTCCCAATTCCACGGACTCCTCACATGCATTTATGTCAGTTTTCTTAGACAACCTATTATGGTCTACAGCACAAAATTCAGAGAATGGCATCTGTTGCATGTATGTTAATCAGAAGCACAGTTACTTACAAAGTCTCAAAAGAGAACCTTACCATCTCTAACATGCCCTATGAGGCTGACCTAATACTCTTAAGATGTTTCGAGTTCAGTGAATATTACCAAGAATCTGCCCCGACAATGAAGTTCTCTGTTCACAGCCCTATAATTTGGTCTGGAGTACCCACAGAGCTGATTTGCAGAGGTGGTGAAGGGATGAGAGGACTGGTTACATCTCTTGACCCATCATCTCCTGCCACGTGCAAAGCAAACGGTTCTCATTCCCCCATGGTGAATGAAGCCTGTGTGCTGAAGATAACCATTCCTACGGGCAATCTCAATGCTGTGCATAAGCAGCAAAATCAAAAGTGGACAACTGTCCACATCTTCTCTTCAAATTTAATTTCCAAGCCAAGAAATGCAGATTAAGAAGGAAGATGAAAAACATCTTTTTACCTTTCCAAACTGTCTCTGTACCTTCTTTTTCATAGTAGGTGGTACAAACCTTTAGGGCCATAATCAATGCTCATACAAATGCTAAAGATCCACAATCCTAAGGAAAACACTGAGTCTGCACACAGAAACCCATACCTATGGAGCAATCAGGTCAGAGTGAAAATTAGTTCTTAAACTTTCAAAGCAGAATGGTAACCTCTCCCTCTTAACGGTAACTAAGAAGTACAATGTTCCTTAATAAACACACAAATGGCCTGCAATTACTAAATAAATTCATAAGGATATTATAGAGCCAAAGATTCATTACTGCTTTATGGCCTGAATGTGTGCATCTTCTGCCATCTAGTCTTACGCTGCACAGAATCTGACTTACATGTCCCTTAATCTGTAGTAAATCTGTCTCATCAAATGTTCAGAAGCTCAGAATCCCAGAGAGTGATAATTTTCCATTAGAGTTAATTAAAGTCCAAATGAGTAGCTAGGTAACAAAGAGGCAGCTGAATAGACACAGCAGCCTTCCTTCCTCCTAGATTCTCAAGCATCCAGTGTACACAAAGTATGAAGTCTGGATCATACTGTTCTCCATTTTCACCACACAACATGCTTGCCTTTTAGGAGTTTACTATATGCTCTTGGTCTTTACAAAGCCTCCATACAAGAGCACCCCAACAGAATAATTTCTGTCCTCTGTGAAATCATAGCTGAAAGCATAATCCACTATGCCACAAAATGGCAGAACCCACAGAATGTCTTTTTCATTGAGTACAATGCCAGGAAAAAAGTCTGTCTCTATAAACAAATCAGCAGGCTTGCTTTCCACAGATGATGAACACAATGTAATTCAATGCTATACAGACAAAGGAGCAGTTTCTTGCTACTCTTAGCAGCCAGAAAACTTGAAGCCAAGTGTAGTGAACATTATATTGTCTCCCCTCAGGAGCCTGGTACCTTCTACTCTATGTGTTCTTTTTGGATGAGTATTATGCTTTTATCTCTAATTATCCTGCTTTATACTATCTTTAATTCTAACAGCATATTTAAATGCACCTGAAAGTACCCAGAGTATGTATGTATATATTATGTATATTTTCTATCTCTCAACAATTTTCCTCCTGATATTGCTTACGTATTCAGGTATCATTCAATATTTAATGATCTAAGAATTTAAAATAACAATGACACCAAGAGGCTAATTTAATAAAGACCAAGTAATCTGAATTATTAACTCCCCTGTCCATTCCCAAAATAAATTACAGAGGGGCTCAGCGGGGAAGGTAAGCACAGCACCTTTGCAGTAGTCCGCAGGGTCCTCCTGCTCCTCATCATCCGAGCCCAGGATCTCCTCCTCTGGCTCTGGAGGTGTGGGGTCTGGCAGAGGTGGCGGTGGTGGCGGAGGTGGTGGTGGAGTAACTAAGGGAGCTTTCTGTTGAGGCTCCGGCCTGAAACAGCAAAAAGAAAATCCTGACTTAGAAGCAAAGCTTGCATATGGACAAACTTGAGAGTTTCTTAACATGGAAAATTAACAGAACTTATACTAAGCAGAAATGCTGACTGATGTCACTTCATCCATTTTAACTGAATTCAAGTAATGTTTCGACACAGGCCAGGAGGGGAAAAACTACCTTACAAGCCAATACCATATTTCTTCAGACTATAAGATGCACCCCACACCCCCATTTGGGAGGAATAATGGTTGTTAATGATGCTGTTGAGTTCTGTTTCCATTTACATTGGTGAAATATTGTTACTTATGTTATTAAATATTTTACCACATTTTTGCTTCAATTTTTTCCCTATTTTCTTCCTCTAAAATCTAACTGTGTCTTATGGACTGAAAAATATGGTGTCCCTTGTGTTTTTTAAAGGCACATTTTCACCCTGAGCTTCAATATTATTTAAGTCCTGATAATATAAAATGTAAGTGAAATAAAGGGGTATCCCCAGTATATATAAGCACATCCCACATAGATGATACAAAGACACATGAAAGCAGCCCTGACCTTATAAAGGGGCTTACTTTCCATTATTTTAAATCAGAGTTTCTTTTCCTACAAAATAGTAGAAATGTGCGTAGGTATCCTGAGTAACTTATAAAAGCTGGCTAAAATAAACTATAGCTGATACATAGTTATTTTCATTACAGAATTCAGTTATCTATCAACCTTGTTTATCAAAAACACGGCCCCAATTTGGAAATTAAAGAAAACACCCACTATCAGTATAATACAAATACAGTTTGTTCATTAAAGTAAGGTCTGCAATGGTCATTTGTAATTGTCACAAAAAAAGCTAAATGATATGTAGTATGCTCTTACAAAGAATAGGAAAGCCTATAATACAAAAAACCCAAAAAAACAAAAAAGCTGAAGAGGTTACAGCTATAAACCTTTCAGCTATCTAGAATCACTCAAGAACATACTAAGTGCATACTACATAATTTAACTGCTATTTCTTCTAACCAGGCCCCAGCGGGAGAACTTGAACCTAAAGTCTTCACTTGGGTGCCAGAAGCACATCTCTCCATTAAGCCACAAACTGCCCTAACAATGGGACCGCCATTGTTACTCCCAAGCTGGTCAAAGCTGCAGGGGAAAGGGTCAGGCTGAAAGGTGTGTTCCCAGGGACAGATTCAGTAGGAGGTCTCTAGGGGAACCCCTAGGCCCTTAGGTGGTAGACAACTGACATTCTGGTGGGGGGGCCTATGCAGTTTTCATGTTCCTTGTCATCTTCTGCACAATGGAAGACTGGTTCCAGTCTCTCTCCTCACTGCAGTACGTAGTCTAGAGCACAGAGCCAAAGCTCACTGTTGAGCCCTAGAACCTTGAGAGGGTCAGCTGTCATAGGACGCTAGTATATACCTAGAGCTGGCAGTAAGAGGCAAGAAAAGCGGAGTTGCCCTGACTACTGCCTCATTCTAAGGTATACCTCTAAATTCTTGCCAATCTAAGAGTCCCCAAAACAGCCCTTATTACATTGCCTTTAGCCTAAATTAGCTACAGCTGATTTATGTGGTTTCCCACCAAAAACTCAAACTGCCACAAGCTATGAAGGAGAGGATGAAAGGCAGTGGAGGAGACACTAGCAGTCATGAGGACAAGGTGGGGATCACACTCCATTAGTAACCTTAAAGGCAAACACTGTCAAGTATGACTAAATACTTACAAAAAAATGTTTATCAACCAAAAATGACTTGTATTGATTTCTACACGCTCCCTGGTTAGCTGGCATTGGAGCAGAGTGTTGACAGCACTCCTGAGTGAACCATCCCTCTTGATGGAGAAATGAAAGGGAATATCACAACCAAACACCCATATCACTGCCAGAACACACTCCCAAATTCTAGCAGATCCTGTGGAAGTGCAATCACCTTTCTAGCAGCCTTGAAAGTGTGTGTTCTCTTAACGCTTAACTGAGAGTAGAATGGTCCCAGGCAACAGACGGGCCTGGCGAAGGGGAGGCAGGGCACCGGCAGCAGCTCTGCCACCTTCCTAGAGGCAAGAGGAAGCAAGAGACCCAGTTTTCAGGGGTGTGGGTGGAATCTCTCTACCTGACACATTGACTCCAACAGAAATACTTTGAAAATGGGCTATTTCTCCCTTAAAAACTTTGTATGAAAAGAGAAGACTCTAAATGTAAAAGAAAAATACGTTATATTCCTTGCAGAAACCATGTAACAAGTAATGAAAGGAGAACTGGAGGGTCTTGTTCTACACTGTGCGGCATCTTGTGCTCAACTCTACCAACGTATGGGCCAGACAACTGATGGCTGTGGGGGCTGTCAGATGCTGTCAGCACCCCTGGCCTCTACCACTACAGTCAGTAGCACAAACACACCAACCTGCTAGTTGTGATTATCAAAACTGTGTCCCAGTGGTGCAAAATCATGCCCACTTGAGAACCATTGCGTTAGTAGTATTTTCTGTATGAAGCTCTACCTCAACCGGGTAGAATGTAAAAAGAGAGGAGATTCTAATTTTCAAAGCCCATTTTTCTTGTAGGAGGCTCAAGAACCTTCATCATAATGTGTGTCTCTCAATTATTCTTTACCCATTTGGTGAGAGTTGCCTGTGTCAATCAACAAAATTCTAAGACCCTCTGGTCTCAGAAAGCATGTACTTCTCATTGCACCAGTGAGGGTCACAAGCAGGAAAAAAGCTCCCCTTAGAGCCACAGGTATCAAGTTAAAGGGAGGTGTCAGGGTACCTTGAAGTACAAAGTTGAATAATGTTGATGCAGTATTTCAACTGGTTATCTATCAAAACATCTAGAACTGTGCTGTTCAGAACAGTAGCCACTGGCCACATGTGGGTTCTAAGCACTTGAAATGTGGCTACTCCAAATTGAGGTATGCTCTAAGTGTAAAATATGTACTGAATTTTCCAACATTTAGTTCAAAAATGTAAAATATTTTATTAATAATTTTATTTTTATTACATGTTAAAATTATATTTTAGATACAATGAAAAATTAAAATTTAATTCAACTGATTCTTTTTACTTTTGTTAATGTACCTACTAGAATATTTTGGAGGCTACACTTGTACTGGATACCACTACTCTAGACTCTTCAGATTCACCAGTACCAAAGAAGAAGCTTGGCCTCAAAAATCAGAGATTCCTGGTCACACCAAGTGATTGTTATTTTTTCCACGGCTTCTCGTAACCTGCTTTACTACAGAGTTATCGTCAACTCTCAAATCACTCAATTCATCATGGTAAGCTTCAACACAATGTAAACTGTCAAATGTTATAATCCCAATCCCTGATTCTTATTCATCCCACCTGCCCCTGTTACCACACGGGAAAAAACAAGTAAACCTGTCTTAAGAAAGATGTATGCAAGACAGAACCACATCACACCAACTTTAAGGCTGGTTTTTTCAAAGTGATTTCTGGTAGCTTCTATAGTACTTCAAAACCTAATTAAATCTTAATTATTTAGAAAATCAAGAAATGACAGGTTATACTACCAAATATATAGTCATGAAATATATTTAATCAATTTTTATGAAAAGCAACAAGAAGTAATCTCATGTAAGAACCACTAGACACATGTAAGAAGCCCTGAAGGGAAGACCCATAAATATTTTTGACAAGGGTGCCAACACTTTGTCAAACAAATGGTACCGGGGCAAATGAATATTAGTGCATTAAAAATTAAAGTTGTAACTCTACTTCACACATGCATAAATATTAATTCAAAAATGAATTAAAGACCTAAATGAAGGAACAAAAACTGTAAAACTTGCAGGAAAAATATACAAGCAAATCTTCATTACTTTAGGTTAGACAATGTTTGTTAGATATAACACTACATTCGAAAAATGATAAACTAGACTTGATCAAAATTAAGAACTTTTGTGCTTCAAAGTGCATAATTAAGAAAGTAAAGAACATCCCACAGAATGAAAGAAAAAACCTGCAAATCACACAACTGATAGGGACTTATATCTAGAATTTGAAAAGAACTCTTAAAACTCAACAATTTAAAAAAATTTTTTTTAAATAAGAAAAAAACTGAAACAGACATTTCTGCAAAGAAGATGTAAAAATGACCAATAAGCACATGAAAAGATGTTCAACAGCATTAACCATTTGGGAAATGGAAATCAAAACCACAACGACATACCATTGTCAAGGATGAAAAAATTGGAACCCTCATATATCGTACTAAGAGTGCAGTATGGCACAGCTCTTTTGGAATACCTGAAAGCTCCTAAAAAGTTTAAATTTAAAGTTATCATAATCCAATTCCACTCCTAGGTATATACCCAGAAGAAATAAAAGCATACAGGGTGGGTAAAGTAGGTTTACAGTTGTGAGTATGCAAAATAGTTTATTCTGGTATTATTTATTAACTCTTGTTATTATTATTATTATTATTATTATTATTATTATTATTAGTTCATATCCTTACTAATGATTTATCTTTCAGGTAATGTCTTTTTCCATACAAACAACTGTAAACCTATGCTTGCACACACTGTATGTCCCACAAAACCTTCTGCAAAGATGTCCATTGCTGCATGACTCATGAAGAAAGAAAAAATCTGAATGTGCATCAACTGATAAAATGTTAGATCCCTACAATGTACTGTTATTCAACAGTAAAAAAAAATGAAATACTGATTCATGCTACATGTATCATCCTTGAAAACATTACACTAAGTGAAAAATGCCAATTACAAAAGATGACATGTTATATGATTCCATTTTATATCAAAATAGGCAAATTTATAGAAAAAGAGGAAACTAATGTTTGCTTAAGAGGGCTGGGAGTAGGAGAAAGGAGAGATGGTGATTGACTGTTAATGGGAGCAGGGTTTCTCTAAGAGGATGAAAATGTTCTAAGGTAGTGATGGTTCCACAACCCTGTGAACATACTAAAGAAATGTTGTACACTGTAAACACGTAAGTTGTATGGTATGTGGATTATACCT